TCTCGAGATCATTCTGTAATTTCTGAAAAGTTTTAATGGTGTTTTCTTGAATTTAAACCTGAGATATCACCTAAAGATGCTTCTCAAATACAAAATAAACATATCTGTCCTAATTCCTTGAAATTATTTCGCTCCCTTAAAGATAAAATAAGAAAATCGAATTCACAATTGCGATTCCAGCTCCCTAATATAGAAGGATTGGAACTGAAATAAAATTATGTGGACAAAATAGGGGGCAAAATGTAGTTTACCTAATCTTTTCTATATATAATTATCAGCCTAATTTTTAATAATCACTGCTTTATTAAAGAAACTTTAATCATTAATGTAACTTTCGAGGAAAAGAGAGGGAAGCGTGGAGGAGAGTGAGAGGAGACAGATTTTAGGTACGGTGGACCACCCCAGAAATTTTAAGAGTGTCGTTGTTGCCGCCGCTGTCCCTTTCGGTGGGGTCAGGTATCTGCTTCTAACGGAATATGTGCAGTGGATCTTCGCTTCATGGATGCGTTATATATATATATATAACTAATTTTTTACTGAAAAATAATAAATTTATGATTTTTTAAACAAATTTTTCTTTTTTATTTCTATTTTATTAACTAAAATATTATAAAAATAAACTTGTTGATAAAAATTAAAATTATAAAAAATATAAAAACTATATATTTTAAATTCAGACACCATATAATTTGATATAATTAAGTTATAACTAATAATAGAATAGTTATGCTATACAAAATATAACGACGTAAAAATATCTATGTAAAAATTAGATTTGAAGACTCGTGTTATAAATTAAATTATTAATTTAAATTTATCAAAATAATTCTGTTTTAATTTGTTAAATTAAAATTATGATTTTCTTTCATCGGCGATGTTTTCCTGGTAAATGTTGATGGACTACTGAGTGGGAAATTGAAAAGTCAGGGGAGAGGGGTCACGTGGAGCCACGACAGCACGTGAAGCGGTGACTGTCGCCGCTGAGAAGCAGCGGGGAAACTGTGACGTGTCCTTAAATACCCTGAGTCTCAGACAGACAACGAGATCTACCAGAACGCGGCCTGTTCAGTGGGACCAACCACTCACTGATCTCGCATCTTGTCAAAACGCGTCACGTCAAATCATACGAAGGCTAGGTCCTAGGGAAAGCTTTTCTTTGACGAGCGGCGGCTACGTACCTGGTCTCACGATAAAAGTTTTTGCACAGTAACCATCTGTTAAAAAAAGATTAAGCTAGATATTTCCACGAATGAATTACAAAAGCGGGTGTACAGGAGAACGTTACTCCTTCCAGGCAATCAGTGCCTTGTAAGTTAAGTATCATCCCATCCATGTAGCTGTGGCGGCACACTAGGGATTTGTTTGGTGGGATTATAATTGTAATTTAAAATAATTTTTATTTTAAAATGTATTAAAATAATTTCACACACTGAAACACACGATGCGAAAGTATCGTAGCAAATGGAATTTTATGGCCTTTAACTTAATTGGAAAAACCCTGGAGGTTGTGATTCGTGCCCCTGTTGCCTTGTACAAGGCTCAGGTGGGCTGTAGCCTGAGTAACAAATAATGTTTTGTCCAATAAATAAATAAAAAGAAAAATATATGTTTGAATAATTGAACCTTCATGAATTGTTAGGTTTTTTAAATATAAAATTATACAAAGGAGAGGAGTGCAGACAAAAGTAAGGACACAGTATTATAATTGCAACCCGTGAAAAATAATTGTTTTTATACATAATTAATTGAAAAACATGTTTTGTTTGGGTGTTTGCGTTTAAAATAGTAATTGTTTTTTAAAATATTTTTTATTTAAAAATATATTAAAATAATATTTTTTTATTTTTAAAAATCAGTTTTGATATCAACACAACAAAATAATCTATAAATACCAAACAAATTAATTTAAAACAAATTTTTTTTTTATTTTTTTAAAATATTTTTGAAACCTAGAAATAAACTAACTATATATCACTAAAGAGCGTGGAAACATAAACAATTTAGGTTAAAAAAATAATAATTGTGATCAATTGTGTTTTGTAGGGCATATATACTTATACTAATTAATTATCCCAGGTTATTTTTCTCAAAATTGACAATCATTATCAATCCTATTAGAGTATATTTGATATTACGGTAGCTGTTGTGTTTGTGATTTGAAAAAAGCTATTTTATAAAAAGTATTTTTAGTTGAGGTTGGTTTGGAAAAATATATATTTGGTTAAAATTGTGGTTGAAATTGAGGTTGAAATAAAAAGTAATTTAATGTGTTTGGTTACAAATGTTTTTGAAATTGAGGTTATAAAATAATTTCAAAAAATATATATTAATATTTATGGTTTTTAATTTAAATATTGTAGATTTAACAGTTGTTATTTCATCATGAAATAAATCATATTTTATATAAATTTTTTTATTATTCCATTAAACTATTTACAATTCTATTACATACAAAATTCATTCGACAAGAACTACAGTTTTCATGATTTTTTGAACGTGCAATAAAACTAGGTAAAATATTATCAAGAATAAAATTGAGATTACAGTACGAATAAATTTAATTCACCTTCCGCTAATTTTTTTTAAAAAATAAAAATTACTATTCACATTCACGTGAACAGTGCGAGTAAAATCAATTAACTGCATTGATTTTTTTAAAAAAAAAACTGTAAACTGATTTTTTTTAAAAATTTTTTAAAAAAAAAACTGTAAACTGATTTTAAAAAAAAACAGTGTTAAGTGAACAGTGCGTCTATCAAGGGATGGTGCAGCTACGAGAAGTAAATAACACCTGCTTTCATTTTCCAGCATTTCAAACGCATAATTTGGTAGGATTCATGAATAGTATTTTACTTTTTTTTTTGTTACTAAATGTTGCTGCCTCTGCGTTTTAAACGAAACGCAAACGCAACAACGTATACAAATTCTTAGTGTTTTTCCCAAATATCATATCGTATACAAATTCTTAGTGTTTTTCCCAAACATCATATCGAGTTGCAATATGCTTAGGCTATAGAAATTACGCATATGATAGCCACCGAAGAACATGAGATTGGTAAAGTGGCTAATCAAAGTGGAACTACTCACTGGAGCTCTTATTTTGATTCTATTTATAGCTTAATATATATGTATGGCACAACTATTACTATAGTTGTAAATATGGTTCAAGAAGGATTTTCTAACTCTATACATGAAGAAGTTGGTGGTTGTTTGATTATGATGAAATCTTTTGAATTTATGTTTATCTTATATTTTATGCATAAAATAATATGAACTACTGATTTACTTTGTCGAGTTTTGCAGCAAAAATCTTTTAATATCTTAATGCAATGAATCTTATATCAACTACTAAAGCATTGCTTCAAACTTTGAGAGATGTCAGATTTGATCTTTTTCTTGTAAATGTGCATTCTGTTTGCACAAAATATAAAATTGATATACAACATATTAATGTTTCATATAAAAAAACTACAGGTCGTTCATATCAATAATAAGGTTTAGTGACAGTTTACTAGCATTATCATTATGATATATTTAACTTAACAATATATTTTCAAATGGAAGAATTAAATTCTAGATTCAATAGTGGGATTGTGAAACATGTTAAAATTGTACTTCACAATAAAATAAAAGAGAAGTTCTAAACATATTCTTTAATAATTTATATTAAACGAGAGCTTATTGAATATATTGATTTAGATTTGATTATAAATGAATTATAATTTATAAAATATTGAAGGATACAATTTTGATAATATAATTTATTTTTATTTTGAATTTTATGTATTTTAAATTTTATTTTTTATATATTTTATATTATGCATTTGAATTAAAATTTTATTGATAACCCAACAAATTTATATATCTAAGTGAATAGTTTATTTTAAAAAATAATTTATATATACTTATATCATAGCCCAGGCAGGAAAAATTTCTGGCGTCCTTGGACTTGTCCTTGTCTTGTGAAAATGGATTTTAATTTCACTTTCTATTTCTCGTGAATAATCACGCTTATACCACGATTTAAACGGTTTATGCACCAAAGTTTACTATGAGGTGATCAACATGACTATGAGATGGTATTCCATATGTTATTTTTCAATAGTTTACAAATAATCTTTGGATTTGTGAATATCATAATGAGGTTTTTAAATGTATTTATTATTAATTAAAACTATTTTTTATTTTTAATAATTTATTAATAAATTTAAGATTTGATTAATAAATTTAAAATGAAAATAAAATTTTTGAGATAATAATACTTTATAAAAAAAATTATAAAATTATTATAATTATAAGATTTCTATTACACTATAATATTTTTTTTAAATGTTTTTGGTTGATGTTATAATAAAAATAAATATTAATTTGATTTATTGAGACTAATATTATGCTCATTATTTTATGAAAAGAAATGGTTATTTTCATGAGTTTAAAAAATATCTGAAACTAATATACATGTGTTTATCAAACAACATATATATTAAATCAAATTATTTAAAAATTTTTTATTTAAAAATTTCATATAAAAAGATCAATTATATTTATAAAAAAAATAATTATATCCAAAATCAATAAATTATCTTGTATAATAAATATTTTGTTTTGATTATGTCTACCTAGTGTCATAATCAAGGGAATGAACAAACATCTATTGGATGCAACATGAGCTATTTACTAGTATTTAAGTGATTAAGAGGAAATTCATTGTTATAGTTGTGTTAAATATGATTCTAGGTACTATTAAAATACTGTTTTTCTAAAATTTGAAATTTTGTTTGTTTAAAATTATATTTTTAATATTTTTGAATTGTTATATGCTAATATTAAAAATAAAAAATATTATTTAAATATATTTTTAAATAAAAAAATACTTTAAAATATAATTTTTACAACACTCTCAAATATGGTTAATCACCCAAACCAAACCAAACCAAATAGCTATACCCGAGCAGCTTTTACCATGTGGGCCGGCTCAAGAACCGAATCGGGTCTGGAATGACTTGGAATATTCCTTTCTTCTCCTTCTTCCAAGTTCCAAATAATACAAAATTAGGAAATTTCCTTCAACGGCTCATTTTGCTACTTCCCAACTCAAAGCTACTCTTCTCAGCTTACACAGAGCTAACCTGATTTAGAAAATGGATTACAAAACAGCAAGCATCAAAGTTCCTACGAGAAGAAATGCGTCGAAGTCGTCGCTGATTATGTGAACCAATCAAGTGATTGTACAATGACAAAGTCAACGAAACTGAAGCGGTTCGCCTACAACGATGATGAATACACAGGATCTTTTCTGCGATAATCGCATTTCGAATAGGAAATACACTCCCCTCAAGTTCCTAAAAATCTCATGGAGCCGTTCAGGTTCTCTTCTTCCAATTTTTTAATGCATTTAATCATTTTTAAGTTTCATTTTCAAATTAGTTAAGTTTCCGTATCTTATGGAAATCTTTTCCCTTTCATTGCCTTGCCTCTCCCTCAAATCTTTTCATCAACCTAATAGGAATTTTGTGATTGCACGGCATGGCACGGCACGGCACTCCCATCTTGATTCTCTATTTCAACCACCTTGCTTTGATTACATGGGTGATATCATTCTCAAGGTCCCCACATTTTGTATGGCAGAATTTATTATGAAACATTGGTCCTCTATTGAAACAAACAAAACCTCTGCTGTCACTGGTGTGATCAAAATTACAAGCATTTTTTCTGTTCAATCTTGTTTACCTTGGAACTCCTAGATTTAGGCTAGTCCTTTATATCTTCTGTTGCTATGCTATCAGTAAACAATATGCACTATGCAATATCTTCGTCGCAATCCCTCCTTAGCAGAGATAAAAACAGCAGGATGGTTAATTTTTTCTCTACATTATTGTGGATGTCCATATAATATGTTTATTTGGGTCTCTCTCAATCACTTTAGAAAGGATAATTGATTGACATATGGAAACTTGTTTTTGCAGCTTGTACAGATCTTAAAATCATGTGACTATAGGACTTTGGCAATTGGTGATGGTGGGAATGATGTGAACATGATACAACAAGCTGACATTGGGGTCGGCATTAGTGGGAGAGAAGGCCTGCTGGCAGGCAGGCAGCCAGGGCATCTGATTATAGTATTGGAAGTGAGTATTTCTTTTTTTTTTTTTTACTGTGTGCAAGTCATGTCATGTTTGCGTTGCGTATTAATATAAGCTGGATGCTTAATGTACTGACTTGAGTTTGAAAACTTGTCTCTAGCTGCTTCTTGTTTCTGCAAAGGAGCTGCTCTTGTACTTCCAGCCAGGGACCAGCCTGTTAAAATCAAATCCTCTACCATGTTTGGATGATAATGTTTATGCTAATGGTTTCAAAATAGTTGTTCTCTAGCTGTTAATGAAACTATTTAAATTTTAGGAACATCAGGATTTCTATCAAAACTTGAAAGCATTAAATAAACTTAATGCTGGTTAATGGTTTATGGTTAATAGTAAGATACATGATTTGACTATTAGCGCACTTCAAATTTGTAATTGTGAGGAACAGATATACATGAAGACACGATCAAAGACTTGTACATGGTTTCTGGAAACAAGATTTATGAGAAAATTGTTATAACAAGGCCTAGATGAGAGATATTGTTAGCTGCTTGTAAGATAACATTTTTCTTGTCCAGTGTTTTATGAGGCCTGATTTTTCCCATCTTGTTTGGTGGAGGAAGAAACTGTAAAATAAATTAGAGATTTTAGCTTGGAATGTAAAATGCAGGAACTTTGCCAAGGAGTTAATCATGACAACTTAAATATTTGGACTGAGTTAATCACCTGAAACACTTGCGCCCCCCCCCCCCCCCAAAAAAAAAAATAAAAAAAATCAATCACATAAAGCAGGGAATTTCCAACTTTATATGTTTTGCAAAATTAGTTGATTACTTTTACGCAAACATTGTTTAATGTTATGACATTGTGATATGCAAACCACCGACAAAAGTGGATGCTACGTTTATAATGTTTTGTTGTCACAGTTGAGATACATTTTTCAATTCGTTTTTCATGTTTAGCCTTTTTCTGACCTATGCTATTTGTTTCAGAGTTTAGGTTTCTAAAACGATTGACACCTGTCCATGGCTGGTATTCTTACAACCGAACTGCATTCCTGTCCCAGTATTCTTTCTACAAATCCCTGTTGATATGTTTCATCAAAATCTTGTGAGTTTTTCCACATACAAAGCCTTCTTATGTTGCTTTCTCCATCTTGGTAGTGAATGATTAGCATGTTAACTTTAGGCGGGGTGTATCTTATGGCCTTTTTTCTCCTGCACTGACATTTCTGTCACATTCAACTTCTCTTTTATTTCAGGTGTCTCTGGGACCAGCCTTTTCATTTCTGTTAGCTTGATGGCTTGTAACGTTTTCTACACTAGCATACCTGTTCTAGTAAGTGTCCTTGACAAAGATCTTAGTGAAGAAACTGTAATGCTGCATCCGCAAATTCACTATTTTGTTATCTTTTCCGGTTTAAACGAGATATGTTGACTAGTCTATAGGTAACTACGGTTCCTGTCAGTCCATAATATTTAAACTAAGTTTTGATTATTCTTGATGCAGGCTTCTTAACCCTAGCACATTTGCTGGATGGTTTTGCCAGTCCCTTTTTCATGTGAGTGTCAGTTTTATTTAATTTTGTTTCTTTTCTTCCAATATTATATGATAAACATATGGTTCACCTGGGATACGAAGAAAAGAGTCATTTAGCGTCAGTGACACTGATGAAACTTCATATCAGTGATGCAAATTTCATAGACATTAATGTACAAGGGACAATTGATTCCTTGGCTAATTCTAAAGAAAAAATATGACTAGTTGAAATATTGAGATGTCGTGGTTGGAAATGTTTGAGGAATTTGCCTTGTGAAACTGAAAGCACAACTTATTGTGAGATATTGTTTGTAGATCTTCTAAATGCTCAAAAAATTGCTTCTCGAGTGTTGATGTGTTGTGTATTTATACATCATTTTTCAGATTTTTTGAACTATAGAAGTTCCAAAATGAAAATTTATCGAGTTTGCACAAGTGTGTGTTAGATCATGCAATAACAATATTAAAAAAGTTTTGTTCTTTTATAAAAATAAATAAATAAATAAATTTTTCGAGTTTGCACAAGTGTTGTCTATTGTAATGTTTGAAACTTTCTTTTGTTTTATTGATAAATGAAATAAATGTGGCGTAGACGAAAATAGCAGATTACAAAGGCTGCACAAGAGTTTGTGTCTTGAATGCCCTTTGTTACGTGATTTAAGAGTGGGCAAGCTTGTGTACGTTGTTCTGTTTTTTAGAGTGTATGGATCTATTTGGTATTTCTAGGGAATAGCAGATCCACTGATGGAAGGCGGAGGATTAGTTATTAACTTGTTTTTTGGGATTTGTGACAGAAATGCAAGGCTGCTTGGAGCTGTTCTATTCGTAGGGATTTTCAAGATTCTATGTTTTTTCCCTAAATGACATCGGTTGATTTCTTTATGAGACAGCTCTTCCTTTCGAACAATATTTCAACCTTCATCATACTAAGAAATTATTGAGAGATCTGTCATTTCTCATGAAATTAATCCAGTTTTTAATTCTAAGTCAATGACTGTTTCTCATGGTTTAATAAAGATACTGAGGGATTGTATAATTTTTTTTTAAACTGTCTTGAGTTTTGCTTATGTGCAGCTCATTTAAGATATTGCAACATCTTGCCATATGGGGGAACTTGATTGCATTTTATGTCATCAACTGGATTATCAGTGTCATTCCATCGGCGGGGGATGTACACGATAAATAATGTTCCAGTTATGTGGTCAACCATCTTATTGGATAACTATATTCGAAAGTTCTCTTCCATGGCTGCCCTATTCTTGTTCCTTCACTCCCTTTTGGTCCAATTTGATTGGTCACACAGAAGCCTTAGGCCCCTTCTTTATTCCATAACTGTCACAAATCCAGATGAAAATGGTTAGAAATTCCAAACAATTGTGAGATTTTATGAGCTAGACTAGTTGGCACCTTTCATATCTCTCTTGGGCGCCCCCCCCCCCTCACTTACAAGTTACAAGAGACTGATTACAGCACGGTACACGATGTCATGGATGCTGCTGCTGCACTTGGGAAAATCTTAACGTGCCAGCTCTTTTGGGAATGCTGACATGACAGCCTTGGTATTCCAAAGTCCAGCATCTCCCAAAAGTGGACTCCAAAGAGAGAACCACTTTCCAATCTCTGTGCAGTTATGCTGTTCGTTGGCAGATCAAGGATTGGAGAGTGGCATAGTTTCTATAAAAAAACTAGTTCTTGATAGAGTTCATATGGGCTGGAACTCTTATAAGGGATTTGAAGCGACCCCTGGATTCAACACTGTTTTGGCAGCTTGAAAAACCCGAGAGCAGCTTCGAAAATGAGCTGGAACTATTTTCCAGACGGCAATTCATATATTTACTATTTTCCAGGCTGCAGTTCATATGTTTTTTTCTGAAAGTGACTCATTTTTTGCAGCTCATTGTTGCGGCTGGGATGGTTCCAATTCTAGCTATAAAGTACTTCCGTTATGCATACGCACCCAGTAAAATCAACATACTTCAGCAAGCAGAACGTTTAGGTGGACCAATATTGTCTCTTGGGAATTTCGAGCGACAACAACGTTTGATCCTGAAAGATTTTGCTCCAGTATCAATTACTCAATCCCAGAACATAAATCCAGTTTACGAGCTGTAAAACCAAACCTAGTTATAGGGGGTGTATCAGCATTACGTATAGTCTCTAGATTGTAAAGGCTCCCCGAACCCCCCCCTCCCACACACACACACACACACACACACAGACACAGCAAGAACAATTCATCTCTAGTAAATGTTTATTATAGCTTGTCGTGATGCAAATTGTAAATGAATGCATCGATACTTCTAGAATGGAAAGCTTCATGGCAAACATTTCTGAACTTCAAGCTGTATAGTTTTGAGAAATTATTACTTGGACTTGGTGTTTGATGGAAAGTCCCAATCAATTACATGACAGAGATCCTCCATCACACAATCAATCAATCAGTCAATCAATAATAATAATAATAATAATAATAATAATAATAATAATAATAATAATGGTTTCGATTATGTTTTTATAAAGATGCCAATCTTTGGCAGGCTCCAGAGTCTCATGGAAGATGTTTTCTCCATTGCCACTAAATTATAGTCCTCATTACATGGATAAAACTCAGCAATTTGTCAGTGAGACAGCTTCGGGAAAAATGGTGAATCAAGTAAAGGGGTCAGCCATACCTTAAGTGAAGTGAAAGGGTCACAGGCGTTACAGAGCATGGGTATTATTTTGTCCTCCAAATTGCCTTCAATTTCTACATAAATAAAATGGTACTCGTGATCCCTGGGGGAGGGGCCTAAAACACTAGCAAATGTCTTCTAAGCATGGGCTGCTGCTCCCCTCTCCCCCACACCATTACCTGCGAGTCTCTACGTAACCCCAGCAACGCACCAAGACAAGAGACACTGTCCCAAGGCGAGGATCATCCCCCAAACAACCCCTTATTGTCCTTTTCCCTGCCATCATAGCTGTCTTTCAGACAAGCACTCCTCCTAGGAAACAAATAATTTGCCAGCGTAGAGGACACATTTGTGTACCGATTCACCAAAATTAAATGGTTGGAGATTTTAGGTCGTTGTCTTGAAGACCATGGCAGATGTTATTGCCTTTAATTTGGATTAGTAATGGCTTTAAATACAGTGGTCTGTGCTGTGGTCATTTTGATGAAAAGAGAACGCTTTCTATAGGGCTTAGCTCGACAAAATCAAGGTGGTTGAAATCTTAAATAGCAGTTCATCTCTTCTGCCAAGCACACCATGTTATATGCCAGCACTTTAGATTAGAAGAAATTATAGATTAGAAGAAATTATGGCATAAATTAAATTGAATTAAATAAGAAATTGTGTGGACCAAAATGGACATAATGTTTAAGAATTAAGAACTTAAAATTTTAATTTGCTCATCAGGTGGGAATGAGTTTATTGTTTACGTAGGTTCCAATTCATTACTATCTCGAAATCAAATCCAATTACAAGAATACAATTTCTTATAGATTAGCGGGTTTAAAAATAATTTATTTAAAATAAGATATAAGAAAGATTTAGATTTGATAAACGAAAATAGTTAAAAGAAACCAAAAATTTCATTGTTCCTCATAAAAATAGGTAATAAAATAACTTTCTTTTGAGATCATGATGTGAAATACTTTTTAAAATATATTTTTTTAAAAAATACATTAAAAAGAATTATTTTTAAACTTTTTTTTTTGTATTTTTAATATTAACATATCAATACTATTAAAAAAATACTAAAAAAACATCAATTTAATGTTTCCTCCAGTCAAAAACTAAAAAGAAATTTGCCCTCTTCTTCCCCAAAAGCCCAACTCTTTATTAGAAATTAATAGAGTAAATAGCTAATCCATATCCTCTTTTTTTTCCCTAAAAGTAAAATTATCATATTTCCAATTAATAATAATTAACAACTTCACCAAGGATCCAAAATCTTACTCAAGTTGAATAATGGAATACCATTAATCATAAAATAACTTGTTAATTTAATGTTAATTACAACTACATCTGTTGTAATATTTGTGGTTAGAAGCTATATAACCAATAAGAAATATAGTTCGAAGGAATCATTCACCATGAGACAAGCATCTTGAGACATCTGGAAATTAAGATCTCTAATTAAAAAAAAATCTACTTGTGATCTATCTTAGCTTTGGCCTGAAAATCCTCAAATCTACTCATCACCGTCCCTCCATGCATGTTGACCACGTACCAAATATTTACCATGCCACCTAATTACGCAAATTGATATCTCCAAATTAATAATTATCTCTTAATCACCAAATTGACTTTCGCACCACCACAAATCTTGGTTAGGTTTAACACATAATTATTAATTATACCTCTACATGCAAAATCACAGCAAAGGGAAAAGAATTAATCGCTACTATTTCAAGAAAAATAAAAATAAATAGAAAGGCTAAAAACCCTTCAAGATTTAGCTTGATTGGTGATGAATGATAAATGATCATGTTCCAATGATCTTATGAAAATTGAGAGACTAAGGAGGGAGAAATTAAGAATTGAGATTCAAAACATATTTCATTCGATATATCCACTTGAAAATTTGATTAAATTTCAATACATCTTGAAAAAGTAATTAACAAGACTTATTTAATTGAAACTTCAAGAACAGAGTACTTAATTGAAACTTCAAAATACAAGACTTATTTAACAACAGCATGATCTTCATCATCTAAGTGAAAATCAAGAACGATGAAGAGAGAAAACAATAGTAACAACAATTTACACCAAATCCACACATATATAAAGTTGCACATATACGGCTGGGGCTGTGATGCTTCAAGCCTGACTTGTCTGTACAAGTCGTCATCATCATCTCTACATCAAGAGCTCATTAACCCATCCAAGATCAGGATCAGGAGTACAAGCCAAACCACCATTATTGTGTTCATTAATCTTGTGAATATCATTGATGAATAATCCCTTATTGCTTGAGCAATCTCTATTGAAAAAACTTGATGAAGGGGTTGGAGTTGAAGGTGAAAGAATGAACTGTGGCTGATCTTCTCCATCGAAACAGACATCAATATTCCTTGGAGTGTTGTTAACATTCCTTTTGTGATTAGGATACAAGGACATAGGTGAAGAAACACCAGCTGCTTCATTGAAATTCGTTGCTTCTAAAGAACTCATAAGCTCGGTAAACACATCTTCGTAACTCACAACTCCAGCCCTAAATTTGCTTAACCTTTCGCTATATCGAGAAATCGGCGAAAACCCAGATAAGGATTGGTGTTTCACCGGAGAAAGAGACGGTGTCAGTGATGGTGACAATGGCGGCGACAAGGGGGACATGCCAAGGAGAGTAGAGGTTGGAGAAGAAGTCATAGAATGGCTAACAGCACAACAACAATGGCCATGATTGAGAGATGAACATGGTGAAGAGCCCAAGGTCTTACTATGTGAAGAACCCTCAGGCAAAATGCGAAGCTGGCGAGGCGAGTGAGCGAAGAAACAAACCTTTCGCTTACAATTCCTGCCATCTTTGCAAGCCTCAGTTCGATAACGAAAAGGGTGTAACCAACACTCAAAAACACCATGAGCAAACTCACAGTTCTCTCCACGGTTACACCCTCCACGTATAAATTCAGGACAGACAGCTCCGGAGTAGTGAAACCTACGAAGGTCTCTCCGACGAGCCTTTTCGCCCGGATGAGCAAAGGGGCAGTCGGTCCAGTCATGGCTACGACTGCGTGTACAGCGACGAACTTTGAACTCATACATGCGGAAATGATCAGAAGAGTATGGATCTAACTCGTCATCAATATCTATTTCATTGTTGTAGTCATTGTACGGAAGGAATTCTTGGAGATTAGTCTCATATGGGGACACGTCCAGGGTTTCTTGATGGGTCTTCCTTGTAAGGAGTGTTCTTGGTGGAATTTCAAGATCTCTGAAGAGTTTCTTGGGAGAAAGAATTTGGCGAGAGGGGTAGAGCTTGTGTTGCTCAGCAGAAATCGTGCCCATTTTTGTGATGGGACTATAGGAGTACTGTAGTAGTGTATAGGTGTAGATGAATTATGAAGGAGGAGACGTTGAGGGAGAAGGAAACAAATGGTGGGGCAAGATATATAGGGAGATACATAATTGAAGGATGACACTTAAATGACAAGGAAAAGAAATGCGTGGCTGCATAGTATTAGGGTTCATCATGCAAAAAGGAGTAGGTGGCAGCTTCTTCATATTCATAGCGCACAATGCCTTGCTATGTGCATGCACTAGGATTTATTATCAGAAAAAAAATAATCATTATCAATACCATGTTTTGGACTTTCTTAATTTTGGTAATGTCTTGCTCACTTATAGGGCTTAGATATTGAACCGGCTCAAACATTAAGGAGTTAATATTGATGTTAATATTCAGTTGGATTTTTTTTTAAATATTGTTTTAAAATTAAATCTTAAAACATTCTAGTTAATCCATCCAATTTATAATCTATCCATCAATCATGGATGAAGGTTTAATAACTTTGATTGAGGGACATGATTGTATTGCTTTCATATATATATATATATATATATAGTCCACTAAACTAGATGCCAAAACAATGGCAAAAATTTCGGTTCCATGATAACAAAGTTTAGTAAATTATAAGCCGGCTTCATACATTGAACAAGTAAACATTTCACCAGAAGGCCAAAAAGTTTCTGCCTTTTTCATTGTAGTAATTCTTTACCTAGGGAAATGATATAGCCCTTCTTTATAGCGCTATTGGCATGCATTTATCATAAACTCTCTTCGAGCCTCACGGTTGATAAATTGATGTTTCTTTCAAGTTAATATATGGACATTCCAAACTCAATTAAGTGAGGGAAAACGCCCACTAGTTTCTTTCAAGAGGAACCATGTAACTTCGTTTTGCTTCATTGGTCACCACATGCCCAAGCCCATAGGACTAGTGCCTAGCCCATTGCACCAAACACAAAATATGTCCAGCACTCTTCACCTCCTCCCATTGTCATTTTATAGATCTAGTAACAGGCAATCCTGAAAGATGCCCAGAATTAATGGCATGCTTCATGACTCAAGCCAAGGTTCTGATCATTAGTTGAACAGGTTAATTCGGATTGAGAAGGATAAATTCAAAACAATTTTATTTCAATGTATTTTTTTTTAAATAATATAAGTTAAAACGATACTATTTTGCATTATTAAAAAAGAGTCAGAACAAGTGTTTCCATGAGAAACAGTTCGGAAAGTTAAAGAAATCGCCATTGGGGTTTCGATAGAATGACTCAGAATTATGTCTTTACCAAAGTCCACAAATATTACCCTAACAATGACAAACTAGATGTCTTCCAAACTAAGAGATTAGGTTTTGGTTTAAAGAAGAAGACAAAAAAAACCAAGAAACCTTATTTAATAAATTACATCAAACAAAACACATGAAACTGTCCCTTTTCGATCATGGACATTTTTGGCTAATGACATCTGTCATTAAACTATATATTATCTTTTTGATACGAACATCATATATAGAGAAGTCTTCATATATATATATATATATATATATATGCTTTCAATTGTCAATGCAAGACAATTGCCTTTGTCGAAGTTGGAGGCCTACATCTCTGAAATCTGCCTAAAATGCATCAGGGCTCAGATGGATCCCATTCTTTGCCTAAAAAGTACAAGCACCAGGCTTCCAGAGACCATCACGCACCCCCTTCGATTAACCGAAATAGCCAGGGTCTCTCGCAGCTTTTGAAATGCAATAAGCTAATGTATCCACAGAGCTCTCATTCTAGTTAAATTTGACCTTACTACTTGCTTGCTTCATATCCTCAGGGTACATAAATACAAGAGGGCTGAGAGTTTCAGTCCTGAAAGCATAACTAAGCTTCGGATCCTAGAACTGTTTCCACATTTCCAAGAATCAAGTGACACTCTAATCGGACTCAATATTTCCGCATCAAACATGTCGACACAGCTATCGATCTGTTTCTGTCGGGGTACTCTAACAAGGATAGCTTAGATCCCTTTTAGCAAACTGAATTATCACTTAAAACCAGTGTTATAAAACATTTCAAGGCCTTTCAGGTCAACCCGATGACTCGTTGATCAAGGGCCTGATTCGGACTGGGCTTTATGTCGAATCATGTGAGACTTGACTGGTTAAATCTGGTAGATTTGATGGGTCGACCCACAACCCGCGTCAATTCAATTCAAATACTAATTAACTGACCCTGACTTTCTACAAGTTAACTGATTTGTTGTCCTCCAGAGGTAGTTAAAGCTCGGATCTCTTAACTTCGAGCCTCAGTAAGTAATCCTGAGAGATGCAGGCAAGAATTCGGGAAAAGGATGAGGACTCTGCCATTATATGCACCGAGCAATCCGTTGTTTCTCCATCAGCTTAATGAGGAGAGAACTGTAAATGAGTTTTCTATGCACTTGTCAATTCAGTTTTTCTTTCAGACAAGTTACATTAACAACCCGTAAAAGTACCTGTGATTAATGATGAATATTGTGTGAAGCTAAAAATTAACAGCCACAGAAATGAATGTAATGGTTACTTTCATCTGGCCTAGTTGTAGAAAACTATAGTTTTCAGTTACCTGGCACCTATTATTTGTCGTTCATCTGGTGCTTCCATGAGGAGATCGAAGTTTATCAGGATTTTGCTTTTGCTGCTCAAGTCAAACTTCTTCTCTCAATCAATGTTAAATAGCAATTTTGGTGGCCAGCATCTCTGAAAACTTTGAGGGTTGATCTAGAAATAAGAATGTTTTAGACTAGTCAAGTTCATGAACTCTGCCTCTCACAAAAATGGGCTGTGACTGCCTAACTCAAGTAGCTACTGACAGTGGATTGTAGCAGTGAAATAAGTGTTAGAGGAGGGAGCAATGGTTCAAGTCATGATAGATTATCAATGTCAATAACATGGAACCTACCTCTAATGCTTGCAATCAAAATTTTAGAGATAAAAAGGTCTTGATTTATTTTTACATAAATCAATGCAAAAATAAAACATTTCACTATTCTGCAGAAAATTTTAAATGGGAATTTCAATCTGTTAAAATCTCTGCGTTATTTTGAAATTTGAATCACAGATACCAGATCTTTTGTGCAGATTCAGATTGTCTATTAGCCCCAGGAAGCAGAAATAAACTGTGGTCAAATATATTAGAAAGTTCACTCTATCGAGCCTCAAAACATACCATCATGTTTTGCATTCTTGTTATTTGTAGCTGTAAAACAACTATGGAAATGGCACAACATTAATCTAATGGCAACATTATTATTAAGTCCTGTTCTAAATGGACAACAACATTATGGAGCTTCGGACAAGTACATTAGCCACCGAAACAACATTTTACTGGATAACTTTGGTCTCAACCTCTACCAAGATGTCTTCTGCATAGCTCACTCTTTTAATATATGCTGCAAAAATGAGAAAGGAAAATATATTTAAGTCAATTGCCAGTTACCTAGGAGTAGCATTTACAACGAGAAGTAGCTAGAAAGAGACGTAATTTTGTATGGAGTAATTCATTCTGACAACTTACGAAGGCTTTAATTACCTGTTGCAGTCCATATACTCAGAAATGGGAAAACTGAGATATGTGTTGCACCTGACAGGAAGATCACTGATACGGTCAGCCCTTAACTTCATAGGGATCGTCCTTGTTATTATTTCAATGCACTCACAGATAGCTCTTGGCCCCATTCCGTGCTTAGCTAATGCATTGAAGTCATATACCCGCTGACAACATTGGCTTGAAGGCCAATCGTTTGAACCTATGAGAAAATCCATGCAGTAAGGGAAATTATCGAAAATGACCGGACACTGATGAGGGTCCACGTCGAACTTAGCCATAGCTTGTGCAGAAATTGCAAGTATCAGAAACCCAACAATGCGAGCCATTAACTCTGTTTTGTGCAAGACAACGTCTTGAGTAGTGTAGTTAGCGCTTGAGAAGAATTTGAGGCTAAATGTATGAGATTTTGGAGTTTATGAAGAGATGGGATCGACCATTTTATCTGTAAAACCAATAAGAATTTTAGTAGGCTTCGTCTTCATGCAATTATGATGAATTATTTGCTGCTTGGGATTTCTTTAGTGCCAAAGCTGTTGTACACGTAAGTCCCAGCCAGGTAAAGGTCGGTAGGAATTCAGGAAAAGAACGAGGGCAACCCTATTACATAGTCTTGATGCTCTCAAGGCTTTTCTATGAACTCCTCGTTTTTCCTTTCCATTATATTAACAGCTAGAAAGAGTATTAGGGTACTTGCATCTGGCCTTTATGTCGCAATCTGTTATTTTTCATTCATCTGGTACTTCGATGAGGAGATTGAAGTTTACAGGATATTGCTTTCGGTACTCAAGTTGAAGTCTTTTCTCTCAAGCAAGCTAGCATTTTTAGGGGCTAACATCCCTAAAATCTTTGAGAATGGTCAAGTACATGAACTCTACCTCTCACAATTTTGGGCTCTGATTATGACGCAGCCTAAACTAATTAGACTAGAAATCAAAGGAAAAACAGGAAGATGGAAGCTACAAAAAGGGTTTATGGAGCCCTAACCGTAGTATTTATTCTTAATAAAAATATCATGTCGATATCTGTTTTGAGAAAAGCTTGAGATAGTTTAAAAGGTCCCTCACCGATCTGATCCAGAAAAGAAAAACCCAAGGGAAAAATAAAGGAAAAAAATTCAAAATCAACTAGGGAGAATACTAAGATTGAAAAAAAAAAAAAGCATCTTCTAGCCCTACGTACTTTGAGGGTTTCCTGACCTCCTCTTCTAGTTACAACAAGTTGACCTACTGTAAAATTTACAGGCCAACCTCCTCATTACATTTTGAGCTCGATCAAAAGATCAGTTGTCGTATCCTAATCTCTTCTACCTGTCTATCTCGTACATAGACACATCTCCAGGCATTCTATTTGTGCAAGTTCTGCGTAGTCTCACATTAATATATATCTTGATTCAAAACTTTCAAAAGCCTGTGTCTCGTGATATATTAAGAGCTTCAGAACTCATGGAAGGAGTAGAAGGATCCTTAAGACCATCTCAGGAGGTTGTGAATTTCAGAACATCCTTCCCCTATCTGGATGGGAGTTATTTTTCAGTCATGGGTACCGCATTATCTTAATGAGAATTTCAACATTTTGAATCTTTTCACTATGTTGAAAGAATCGTAGACACCAGATCTATTGCACATTGTTTATTAACCCTGGGAAGCAGTAATAATCTGCACTGATTCAAGAACATGCTCACGTGTATTTGAATCTTCACTCTCTCAAGCTTCAGAATATACCATATTTTGGATTCTTGTTATTTCTAGTTGTAAAAACACCATTGGAAATGGCAGAACATTAATGGAATAGGAAGTTAGCAACATATGATGTCTTCATATGTCCTCTTCTCTACAGCATTCACACTAAGAAGTAGAAAGAGAAGTAATTTTACTTGGACCAATTCATTCCGACAGAAATTGGGAAGCTATTATGTGCTTATCACTTGTCTAGTATAACACAGATTCTGGGAAAAAGGAAAGGATAATCTTCTGTAGCCGCAATCTCCTTGATGCCAAAACAGATCCTTTGTGCCGCATGATTCTGTTAGATATATCACTGAGTTTCAGGTAACCAATGCAACATTCACGACTTGGTTCTTCTAATAGACCCTGGATAAATCCTAAGCATGGCTTGAAGTTTGGTGCCACATCCTTACATTCTTTAGAGAAGTCCCATAGTTTCCAAGGCGTGGATGATCCTGAGATTAGGGGAATAACCAGCTAAAAATGAAACAAGGCAGCGAAAGATTTCTGGTTAAACAAAGTTTTACAAGTACAGTCAGGTTAAGGATACTCAGGGCTCAACTTTGAGAACTTCAGAACACCAACATGGCAACATGTATTTGTCATTCTCCTTTACTTACTGCTTGCTGTTAAGAAACCCTTGCCGAGGGCAATACTATATTTATTTTGACAGATTCAGCTGTCCCCATTGCCATGAAACTGTCATGCCCCATGATTTCCTGAGAATCGTCCCAGTATTCTTGAGAAATTGTACATGTCCTTGCAAACATGAAAATGATCCAAATCACAGAGCATTATGTAAAACTAACTTTAGATAAAACCATGGCCAAAAGGGTAAACTAACTCAGGATTATTCTATATAGCATATTGCCTTAAAAATCATGGCAAATGCTGCCTTTCCTAGTCTATATCGTAATGGATGCTAGGATTTCCTGGCTCATATTTCTTGGTGCTGCAGGAGCTGAGTATTTGACCTCTTGACTATTGAGACTTTTGTTGCAATCTGATTTTGTTTTTCATTCACCTAGTGTTTCCATGAGGACATGTACTTTGCTAAGCAAGGACGAATCCAAGTAGAGGGTTTTCCAAGCTATAGGCCGGACAGATTTTTTAAAAAAAAAAACTTTCGGGGCAGATTTTTATTAGCTAGCAGCCCATAAATTTATGCATGTTTCGGCCTTTAACCCAAGTCCATGGTGCCTAACTCTTTTTGCCCAGCTCAATATATATATATATATATATATATATATGTGTGTGTGTGTGTAAAGCCAGCACACTTTGTCCCCTTCAAACCATCTTCTTTCCAGTAAATTACCTCCCCAAAACCGCAATCTGCTCTCCTTCTCCTTGCTGCAAATTTTCTTCAAAACTTAGCTCACAAGTGGTCATTTAAGTTATTTCCTTACGAGTAAGTTTTTGTTCGCATGACCTGGAACAACTCGTTGGGTTTTTAATTTTAGTTCAATAAGGAGTTTAATTGAATTATTTGGAAAAACAAGAATATTGTTTCTAGAGATGGATAAAAATAGACTCATCTCTCAATTTGACGTTAATGCTTTCAAATATTATCTTATGACATCTTTTAACTTTATCTTTGTCTTACTTTTGATGAACAAACTTATGAGAGTTAGTAATCAGAGATGGATAAAAATAGATGGATAAAAATGGATCCAACTCTTAATTTGACGTTAATGCTTTGAAATATTATCTTGCCATGACATTGTTTGACTTCATTTTTGTTCTACTTTTGATGAACAAAGTTACAAGAGTTACTAATTTTATTTTTTAAACGTTCCAGAAAAAAAATTAAATTATTGTAAATGCTTTACATTTTGTTTTACATGCAAAATTTCAACTTTAATATTTGAGGCTCAAATAACGATTGGGAGAATTTATTAAAAGTTTAATATCTTTTTTAAGAACACTATGATATTGATATGAGTGTTTCTTATAAGATTAATACACGTAGTTCTTATTAATAAATAGATTTTGTGGAGTTGCTTTATATTAACTCAATATTAGATCCTTTACATGCTTTCACATCATTTAAAGTTAATAATATATATGAGTTTGTTGAGAAATTTTATTTTAAAAACTTTATTTTTATGAACTTATATGGTTTAAGAATACAGTTGAAATAGTTGAAATATTATAAGTTGTTAATGGATCATTTAAATTTTTAAAATATTAATTCTCTTGCTATACGATATCATTGATTAGTTAACACAGACTTAACAAATAATTTCAACTTGATTAGTAGACTGATTCAATTGATACTAACTCTTTTTATTTTTACATCAATAATAGAATGAACCTTTTTATCTATGAAATTGATTAAAAATCAGCTTTGAAAAATATAGAGGATGAGTTTCTAGGGTAATCATTCATATAGAAAAAGATTTTGCAATTAGTATATGTTGTGTGTGGTTCCACACCATGTGATGGTGGGACCACCACATTAATTTCTGTCTCAGGGTAATCATTCATATAGGAAAAGATTTTGCAACTAATATATGTTGTGTGTGGTTCTGCACCATGTAATGATGAGACCACCACATTAATTTCTGCCTCTTGGTATTCAAATTAATGTGGTTCAGGCACTATAGCGGTAGAATTGAAAATAGAAGAGAGGAGAAGAAAACCAAGAGAGAAAACGAGAAGAAGAGGCAATAGAGTAGCTTGTGTTCTTTTTTCGATTTCCAGCTCGTTTATCGTTGGATCGGGCTGAGATTTTGACAGCAGCTTCTAGACACGTAACTCTTCATTTTGAACGGTCGGATCGAAGATTTGTGATGTGGAAGCTAGCCTTTTTGACAGAAAATGAGGCTGTTAGTATTATGAGTTTTTCTCAAATAATTCTCCTTTAATCTTGTTGTAATCCGAGAATAAGTTGTTCTTGATGATATATATATGTTATATCCCTGAGTTGAATCTGAGAAAGAATAATTGTGAACCCATTATTTGTTGATAGTGGAAGTTTTTAAGTGGACTACGATCCCGTGGTTTTTCCCGCATCGGGTTTTCCACGTTAAAATCTTGGTGTTGATTTTGTAATTATTTGTATTATATTTGATCATTGTTTGATTCTATTTTACTGCACAAAGAGGAAAAGAATTAGAACTTGTGAATTGTGAATTGTATTCCGCTGAATTGATCCGGGTAAATTGGTGTCCGATTGTTCCTAGTTTTCCTAACAAAGTGGTATCAGAGCACTAGTTGTGTAGATTGAATTTCTTGTGTAGTCAAAATGAAAAAGGAAGATTCGGGCATGATAAAGCTTACTTCCTCAAATTATTTTCTATGGAAAACAATGATGAAGGATCACTTATATTGCAATGATTTGGCTTTATCGATTGATTGTAAAGGAATAAAGCCTGATGATATGGATGATGCAAAATGGAATAGGCTTAATAGAAAGGCTACTGCTAATGTTAGAAAATGAGTATCTTCTAAATTCATTAATCACATTTCTCAAGAACATAACTGCTATACAGTTTGGAAGATGTTGAAAGAAATATTTGCTAAGGAGAGTGCACAAAACAAGGTTTTTGTAATTAGAGACCTTGTGAATTTGAAGTATAGAGATGGTGAAGATACTTCAGTGCATATAAATGTATTCCAAGGGTTCTTGAATCAGTTGTCATTGATGAATCTGGAGTTAGCCGATGAAATGCAAGCACTAATCCTACTAAGTTCATTGCCGGATAGTTGGGAGACTTTGGTGGTGTCACTTAGCAATTCTACTCCGAATGAAAAGATTACTTTAAAAATAGTGAAGAATTGTATCCTCAATAAAGAGAAGAGGAGGAAAAGCACAAGAACTTCTGAGTCTCATGCACTTGTTACAGAAAGTCATGGGAGAAGTCCAAGCAGGTTCTCTCACGATAAGCA